CCTAACATATGATGCATGAATGTTAAGTTATTTGATTTCAGATTGGTGAACTGAATATTTCTTCAGTTATAGAAACCCAATAAATCTTTCTTCTTCAAATAAGAGAATCTATCCTCTTTGACAATTGTAGAGGTAGATATAATGTCACAAAACCTCTTGAGAATAAAACTCAATGGTATAGGCTGTTGAAAAGCTTGCCTTCATGTGACATGTTGATTCTGATAACAACTTATCTGATTATGAAATGACCTTTCAAGATGATTTCACAGATATCGATAGTTCTTCTAATACAGAGAAATCTTGAATTCTGATTCTGATGAGGAGAATAAACTGTTATACTTGACGAAAATGGGATTCTCAGATGCTGAAACTTCAAATAGCCATGGGTTATGATTTTTGGGAAAGGAATAAGCAAAAGAAGCTTGAAAAGAAACTTCTTAATGAAGACGATCATGCAGTTTATCTTTTAATTCCAATGATTGGTTCTGTAATTTTTACTAAACCAGATCAGATAACTCAAAGAACACTTCCAGAAGATGCTATTGGCAAATTCATCTTCTAAATTCAATGATTGGTTCTGCCAAACCAGATCAGATAACTCAAAGAACACTTCCAGAAGATGCTATTGGCAAATTCATCTTCTAAATTCAATGATTGGTTCTGCCAAACCAGATCAGATAACTCAAAGAACGCTTCCAGAAGATGTTATTGAGCAAATTCATCTTTCAAATTCAATGATTGGTTCTGCCAAATCAGATCAGATAACTCAAAGAATACTTCCAGAAGATGCTATTGGCAAATTCATCTTCTAAATTCAATGATTGGTTTTGCCAAACCAGATCAGATAACTCAAAGAACGCTTCCAAAAGATGCTATTGAGCACATTCATCTTTCAGTTAATGATTGGTTCCGTTAAACCAGATCAGATAACTCAAAGAACGCTTCCAGAAGATGCTATTGAGCAAATTCATTTTTCAGATTCAATGATTGGACTAAGATAAAACAACACTTATTTGATGTAGAGCCAGAATTTGTAGATTCGAAGTATTTCCATGCTACTATACTGAAAAGGGCTATATTCATAATTCTGCCAATTAAGAATAGGTTTTCTCTTATTCTGCTTCCTCCATGTGCTGATGCTTTTCCATTGACAAAGAAATGATGGCTTTCATGGGATCCAAGAACAAAGTTGAACTGTTTATAAACATGTACAGGAAGTGCCAAATTGACAGAAAGGATCCGTAAGGCTTTTGAAGCTTATGACAATGAACCACCTTCGAGTGTCCAGAAGTATGTTCTTGATGAGTGCTGAAAATGGAATCTAGTATGGGTTGGAAGGAATTAAGTTACTCTACTTAAACCTGATGAGGTGGAAATGCTTCTAGGTTTCCTTAAAAACCATATACAAGGATCTGTATAGAGACATGTTTCCTAGTGATATCAATGTCTTGTTTCTTTTTGCTGGAATCAATGCTACAAAAGTTGCCTTCTACTGTCTTAGTATATCTTTGAAAACAGATGTGTAAGAACTGAATGGTGATCGGTTGGAGCAATTGATGAGTAGATTTGGCGGATTCTACCTTGTTGTCGGTAGCACCACTTGTAACAATCTTGATGTTCATGGCTTTAAGCTAGTGATGATTTGCCTACTTTGTATTCCATGTATTTAAAAGTATTAACATAAAGTGATATTCAGAAATCTTTAAATTATTTTAAAATTATGTTAATTCAATAGAAAAGAATAAATTGAATTTTCAAAAATAAATTGAATCTCAAATAAATTGAACTTGAAATAGATATAATTGTATTCAAAGTTATGGCAAGCATAAGAATAATAAAAATTCAAATGTCTCAACAAATTATTAGCATAAGTATTTCTAAATTAATCAAGTTGACACAACTTAGAGAAATGATGTAAGCTTTTGTCTGGAAGATCTCAAACGTTGTCAAAATGCTTGTAGATGTGAAGTTTCTTCCAAACTGTCAAAATCTTAAGAGAATTAAATTGCCGGATGCCTAATATCAACCTGCATTTGAGCCGCCTTTTCAGGTTTTCAACTCAAATCCTTCCTTTGGTTACAAGATGCCCTTTGCGGGTTTTCACATTGACCCCCCTTTTTCTTTTTTTTTTTCTTTTTTCTCTCTTCTATATATTTTTTCTTTTCTTTTTCTTTTTTTCTTCAAACATAATATTTCTTGACAGAATCCGAATTTATTGGATTTCTCAGAATTTTTCCATCCATTTCTGCCAAGATCAATGCTCCTCCGGAAAAGGCCTTTTTCACAACGTATGGCCCTTCCCAATTAGGCATCCATTTCCCGCGGAAATCTTTATGTATAGGCAAGATCTTTTTTAGTACTAGATCACCCTCTTGGAATTCTCTTGGATGTACTTTCTTATCATGAGACTTCATCATCCGTTTTTGATACATCTGTCCATGGCAAATAGCTTTCAATCTTTTCTCCTCAATAAGGTTCAATTGATCAAATCTAGCTTGGATCCATTCAGATTCATCCAATTTTATTTCTCTCAATATTCGAAGCGATGGAATCTCAACTTCAATTGGTAAGACTGCTTCCATCCCATAGACTAAAGAAAAAGGCGTTGCCCCAGTAGATGTTCGAACAGTAGTTCGGTATGCGTATAGAGCAAAAGGTAACTTCTCGTGCCAATCTTTGTAAGTTTCAGTGGTCTTTGTAATGATTCTCTTGATGTTCTTGTTTGCTGCTTCAACTGCCCCATTCATCTTTGGACGATATGCCACTGAGTTTGCATGTTTGATCTTAAACTGTGCACAAAGTTCGGTCATCATTTTGTTGTTCAGGTTCAGAGCATTATCTGTAATGATCCTTTCTGGTAGACCATACCGGCAAACTATCTCTTTCTTTATAAATTTACAGACTGTGGACCTCTTAATATTGGCATATGAAGCAGCTTCAACCCATTTGGTAAAATAATCAATTGCCACAAGGATGAAACAATGTCCATTCGATGCTTTTGGTGTGATTGCCCCAATGACATCTATTCCCCACATAGAAAATGGCCAGGGTGCTGTCATTACATGTAGAGGAGATGGGGGTACATGAATCTTGTCTGCATATATCTGGCATTTATGACATTTCCTTGCATAATCAATGCAATCTGTGTACATAGTAGCCCAATAATATCCATATCTCATTATTTTTCTGGCCATGGAAAGACCATTTGCATGTGTTCCACATATTCCACTGTGTACTTCTTCCATGACATTTCGAGCTTCGCTGGTATTTAAACATCTCAATAGCATTTGATCACTGCTTCTTCTATACATAATCTCTCCATCAAGAAAATATCCAGCAGCCATTCTTCTCAAAGTTCTTTTATCAATTTCCGATGCATTTGGTGGATAACTTTGATTTTTGATATATTGCAGGATATCATGATACCATGGTTTACCATCTACCTCTTCTTCCAGACTATAACAATGTGCAGGAATTTCATAAACTTGCATTTTGATTGGCATCATATCAACTTTCTTAGTTGCCTGAAACATAGCAGCTAATGTAGCCAAAGCATCTGCCATTTGATTTTCTTCTCGAGGGAGATAATTGAAGGTAACTTTCTCAAATTCTTTCACTAATTCGAGGGTAAAATTTCGATATTCCAACAATTTGGGATCTTTTGTTTCCCATTCTCCTCGTAATTGATATACCACCAACAATGAATCTCCATATATCTTGAGAAATTTGATTTTTCTTTCTATAGCTGCTTTCAACCCCATGACACAAGCTTCATATTCCGCCATGTTATTGGTGCAAAAGAACTCCAGTCTGCTTGTAAAGGGATAATAAATATTTTCTGGAGAAATTAACACTGCCCCAATTGTTATTGGGCCTGTAAATATTATTTTTTATTATTTATTATTATTTTTTATAATAATATTTATATATGTATTTAATATATTTAATAATAATAATAATAATGATAATAATAATGATGATAATAATAATAATAATAATAATAATAATGATATGGGTAAAAAATTAGTATCTTCACATTGATATTCTCAACCAATCTGTAGCAGTGAAGGACAGAAAACTGTGTCCAATCCGGTGCATTGCAAACCTTTGATGGAGCTGCAAATAATTCTCGAGAAGCATCAGGTATAGGAAACGATTTAAGCTCCCTGCAATTTGACAATCCAAGATATTGAAGCCTGGAATGTCCACTACCAATCACAGGTATGCTGATGAAACTGTTGCCGCCAAGGTCAAGTTTTTCCAGAGAGGATAAACAAGAAATATCACTAGGAATATCTCCATCATGTAAATTGCAGTTCCTTAGTTTCAGCTCTCTTAATGATCTCAAACCTGACAATAAATGTAACATCAGAGGCACAGACTCTATCCTTTGGAATACCTGGAAAAGAGAAGTTAGATTTGGTCCTAACTTAGAAGATGGTCCCTTGAGCCTATTCAAAGACAAAACTTTAAGATTTTTAAGTTGAAAAATGAAGGATGGTGGTTTTGCTATGGCTGTTTCACTTAAGTCGAGCTCTTCCAACAACTCTACTTGCTGCAAATTCTCTGGCAAATTTTCAACTTTATAACAGCCCGAAAGATCGAGAGATTTTAGACATTTACACCCACCTATGCTCCTTGGGAGACTAATAAGGTTTCTACAATCTTTTAAGATTAATGTTTCAAGAGATTCTATTCCAATTTTGGTTGGAAGATTCCTAAGACTTGTGCAGCTTCTTAAATTCAGAAGTTTAAGCCTCGAAAGAACTCCGACTGATGGATGAACATCTACTATTCTTGAACAACCTTCCAATATCAAAATTTCCAGATTTGGGGCTGTTGTAAAGTCTGGTGTCTTGATCAGGTTTTCGGACCCTTTGAGGTTGAGCACTTTCAACTTATACAGGGGCTGCTGAAAATAATAATAAATTAGAGAAGATTTAGTTAATATTCCTAAAATAAGTTAAAAAACAATGATCATATGAATTAGTTCTTACTATGTTTCCCCTCCATAGTTGTTCAATGCGACTGTATGGTAGCAGAAGTGCAACCAGGTTGTCTGGTTGGAAGCTTGGAGGTAAGAACCTTAAAGGATATCCCATCCAATCTAAGAGCCGTAACTCATTAGGAAGATATTTGAGTTCATCACAATTTGAGAGGCAACTGACTTTGAGCAATCTCAATTTTTTCATCTTCGAGATAGCATTAACATTCAAATTGAGCATCTTGTTGGATATCCTGATAACCAAGGGTAAAACAACGAAAACTCAGTTCAAATTTGAAAATATCCCAAAGCATTCCATACCTAAAAGCAAGGCTGCTCCAACACTTAATTTATCTATGCTCCGTCAAGCACTCGTATCCCACACATCCGAATAGAAACACAGAGATGATTCTTCAAGGATTTTCAAAATAAATTAGAAAAATTAAAAATACAATGAGTAAAATAAGAAAGAGAATATAACTCAACGAGGAACGGTGTAATTTGAGTACAGTGATATAATAAAACTTTAAGGGTCACTTTTGACCAAATATGAAATTTACACATGGATGCATGTTTATGTATGTTTTGCTACCTTTTATTGTCAATGATCATGCCTTCAATCGCTTCCGTAGCCTAAAAACATTCAAAAGTAAGATATAAGAAACACAAAATAAAATGAGGCAATTTCTGTGATAAAACTTGTGAAAAAATACATTGTGTGTATCATTTATGTATTTAACATTAATATAATATGCAATTTCCCTGGAATGACTCACAGTGTTCTTCGTTAGCACATGATATACATCATTTTCCTCCCACAAACTACAACGTTTTCCAGGCTCCTCGATAGATTTTTCCCGAATAATTCTTCTTCCCATTTCTTGTAGTAAGTTGTGCATCCACAATTTGTTGTTTTCGTCAACTGTTAGTAGAGACTTCTTAATGAGAACATCGATTCCAATATCCGGGAAAAACTCACAGCCATCCAATACTTTCATTACAAAATCTTTCTCGTCCCCATTGAAGAAGCATGCTATATCTAGAAATATGTTCTTCTCCATTTCTTCCAATCCATCAAAGCTAATTCGAAGTCTGTCAATAATCTCTTTGTTAGAATCCTTTTCAAGTCTTTGGATTGCACTTCTCCATTGAGCTACATCTCTACCGCACAAAAAAGAACCCAAGACTTCAAGAGCTAAGGGGAGACCACTGGCATATTTTGCAACATGTTCAGAAAGCTCAATGAAAACATCATTTGGTGCTGTCTCACTATCAAAAGCTTTCAAACTGAGAAGTTGAAGTGCCTCGCTGTCATTCAATGTTGAAGGCTTATACACATCATCAACTCGGTAAGATTGGAGCAAGTGTTCATCTCTTGTTGTTATAATGATTCTACTCCCTAAACCGAACCAATCATGCCTTCCGATCAAGCATTTCAAGTGCTGTAAATTATCCACATCATCGACCACAACAAGGACCTTTTTGTTAGATAATCTGCGGCTAATTATGGCATTCCCTTCATGAACATTGAAAATTTCGAAGACTTCACCAGACAAGATCTGGAAAAGAAGTTGTTTCTGTAGAGAAACGAGTCCAAATTTGTCTGAAACTTCTCGAACGTCAGCAATGAAGCATTTACCTTCAAAATGAGATGACATTTGGTCATATACAACTCTTGCGAGAGTTGTTTTACCGATGCCACCCATTCCGCAAATTCCTATGATGCGGATGTCATCTTCCCCAATCTCTATTTTGGAATGCAACTCCTCCAAGCGTGAACTAATTCCAACCAACTCATCATGAACAATTGGATATGTCTGACATAATTTTGCTGATATTTTTCTAACAATATCTCCGATAAACTCTGATTCATGCCTACAAAGAAATAAAATTCAGTTCATTTTTATAATTATTAAAGTAATTAAACAAGAAAACAGGAAAGAAAAGAATGGTTTACCTGTCATTTAAATGCCATCCTTTGATGTTAGCCACTTGAGTCAAAGCAGTTCGCCACCTTAGAATCTTTTCTTTATCTTCCTTGTATCTCTCTGCATGTTTGGCAAATGCTTCTTCAACATTTTCTTTCTGTTTTCTTAAATCAGATGGATTCACGTCGTAGAAAATTGGAAACACTTTATGTCCTTTCTCGTTTCTTTGTTTAACAATCTCAGTAAGCTCCTCCAAGCACCAACTTGAAAAGGCATAGGTTCCTGAAAAAACAATTACCGAGCACCACGATTGTTGAATGGCTCGGAAGAGTTGTGGTGCGATCTCTTCACCGGCATCCATCTTTGAATCGTCCCTGAAACTGATAATTCCACTTCGATTTAGAGCATCATCGAGATTATCTGTGAAGTTTTTGTGGGTATCTTCACCTCTAAAACTCAAAAAAACATCGTATTTCTTTCTAGAAATACATGATAAAGTTGAAGGTAACAATGATATGATGAACAATGAGAAGGAAAATTTTGGGGTTATGGATTTGAGATTGATTTGTATTTGAGAAGGCTTTGTTCATCAACAAAAAATAATAGTTCTCAAACTCTGATATTATCCTATTCTATCTCCCGTCAATTGGTCCAAGTTTTCTTTCAAAGGCATGTGTCTACTGGCTATGATTTGCATTTTCCACGCTTTAGTTCAATGCGTATACTCGGGGCTAGCTTCTATGATTGATATTTTTGTTTCCATAACCGAGTCATGTCATACTTGCTCTACTTCCCACCACTTTCTACGTTTCACATCAATCAATCTATATATATTAAGAGAACATTAATTTCTTGTATAAGAAAAATGATAGAGGGAGACTTGTCAATTAAACATTAATTATGAAGTCCCACATTTCTTTATGGAGAAGAAGGTAAACTTTGATTTCCAAAGTCATCTGAGTAATTGCAGCCAGAGGAATTGATAATAACTTTACAAGCCTAAGGAAGTAACTTCAGTTCAAGCCATGATCAACCAATACCTACAGCTGAAAAAACATAATTAAAACCTTCAAAATGGTTGAAATTCAAATCAAATTTGCACTTAAATTTCGAATCTACTTCACAACTCACTGTGTAGAAATCATAAAAGAAAATGTCACCACCATCAGCATCCTCCTCCTCCTCCTAGGGCAACAAGAACTTATGATTGCATTGGGGCCATTGAATACACATTTGAGAAAATTAGAAATGATTCTAATGATTTGATTTTAATTGAATTTATATTTTTCTTTGAATTATGATTGAATATATTTGGCCAAAAATATTAGATCAGAAAAAATATCATTGAAACATCATGTTCGTGAGAGAAATCGCTTTCTTTTATTCCCTTTGAATAGGTTTTTGCACAGTTTTGCATATAATACAAGCTCAAAGTCTCAAACACAATACGGTATATAGTTTGTCCTCAGGAAGTGGAGAGCTTGAAATAGAAGCGAAGCTAGCTACTACCGGCATTACCATTTTCCAAGAATGGATATGAAATCATATTATCCAATGATGGGGATGAGGATGAGGACGAGAACAAAAGCAACAAAGGCGTCAAATCCCTCTGCGCCCCCATGAAATGCAGCTGGTGGCGTCGAATTTTCTGGTAAGTCAACCTCTCCATCAAGATACCTTACTAACTTCCTCATGCTTGGTCGTACCGCAGGCACGTCATTTGAACAAATTAGGCCTAACTTAAGCACCATTATCACCTCACCTTCATCATATTGGCCATTGAGCCTAGTGTCTACCACATCAAGGACCCTCCCTTGCCTAATCTTCTCCCATACCCAGTCAACCAACACTAATTCCTCGGGTAATGCTTTAAGATCAATAGGCCTGCGCCCATAAGCAACCTCGAGCAAGAGTGCACCAAAAGCATAGGCATTGGACCTTGTTGTGGCCTTTCTTGTCTTGGGCAGATCCGGTGCTATATATCCCATTGTCCCTACAATTCGACTTGTCCCTGGATTTGAACCATGTTCATACAATCTTGCAAGGCTGAAATCTCCTAGCCTTGCATTCAACTCATCATCTAATAATACATTACTAGCCTTAACATCCCTATGAATCGCAATTTGTTCATATAATGAGAGCTGGCTGAGAAACCAACATACATAAACTCGAGAAGAAACGGCGAGAGATCTACATGAAAAGACGAGGGGAGATGGTCTTTTAGATGTGGGTGCAATCGTTACATTCATGATGTTCTCAACTGAATCGTAATCAATCCAAGCTTGGATTAGTTTCCCACTCTTGGGAGTAAGATTTTGCTTTGTGGAACCACCTTGGGTGTAGTAACTGGCAGAGACTGAAGCATTTGAGTGCAAGCTGTTTATGTCAATACCGATATGGCTGTTGTCCATGTCTCGAAACTCAAAATCTTGAAAAGTGTCGAACTCAACTGCAACAGGATGGTTCGAGAAGTTACCATATTGGTCGCGTTGAAGATTCCTAGATTCTGATTTGAAGGTGCTCTGCCATCTACAGAAGTGGTGATTGTATTTCATGATCTGCTCCTTCCGTCGTTCCTCGTACTGATTACGCAATATTTGTTCGCGTTCCGCTTTCTTTTGTTCCCTTGCTACATATAGAACCTTTGAACCTAATGAATACAAGCATACAACCATACATCAAACTCAGTGTGTTAGGCCTCACTTGGATTGAATTATGCCATCAATGAAGGCAAAGAGTGTTAGAACTATGCTACTTAAACTCGAGTATGCACGAGACCCGGATATGCATAAAACGAAGAGTTGGTAAAACATAGTAAAAGAAAGCCTACCAAGTTTTGATCCTTTCATTGACTCCATTGCCCGCTTGGCATCATCGGGACATTCGAAGTTCACAAAGTCGAAACCTCTCGAGGCACCATTTTCATCCCTTGTTACAGCCAGGGAGGCAATTTTCCCTGGCAAAATATACATATTTGTATATTTAACATCAGGACTTGGCAAAATCCTGTCACACTTTTTCATGAATTTCCCAACAAATCTGGGACCAAAAAGACTAGAATTAAACTTCTGAAACCATTCATTCCATTAGCAGATAAGTGGAACGAAAATATTTTAAAGGAAAATTCATATTACACTTTTTTATCACAAATCATGTTGTTATCAAGCTTCTCGATAGCAGCAGTTGCAGATTCTTCAGATTCAAATTGAACAAATCCATAACCTTTGCTTTTCCCATCCTCAAATGTTGCAACTTTGCAGGATATTACATTCCCAAACCTCTGAGACAACTCTTGCAACCCCACACTATCGGTTGATTCACTTAGATTCACATAGCCTGTCGGTATTGTATCTCCACCTTTGAAACAAAGTGCTTTGTTTGTGGTACCTCGTAGATATCTGAGGATCCATTTGACTGCTTCCCAGTGTATCTTGCCCGGATTATTCATGTACCTGCTAACAGCTCCCACTGCATGAGCAATATCTGGTCTGGTACAAACCATGGCATACATCAGACTTCCAATTGCTGAGGCATACGACACCTTCACCATGTGTGCACGTTCTTCCTCCGTCTTTGGTGATTGGTCTTTGGAGAGTCTGAAATGAACACCTAAAGGTGTACTTACTGGTTTAGCATCTTGCATGTTGAACCTGGAGAGTACTTTGTTGATGTACTCAGCCTGTGATAACATCAAAGTCCCCGACTTTGTGTCTCTCTTGATCCTCATAGCAAACAGCTTCGACAATTTTTGCTTCAAGTGTATAATCTCTTGCATGTTTGAGCCTGCAACGAGCATGTCATCAACGTACAACAATAAAATAATGAAGTTATTGTCGAACCTCTTTATGTAGCAACAATGATCTGCTTGGCATCTGGTAAAACCACTGCTACCCATGAAACTAACGAACTTTTTGTACCGCTGTCTAGGAGCTTGTTTTAGACCATACAAGCTCTTCTTCAACCTGCATACCAGGTTTTTCTTGTCTGCCTCTATGAAGCCTTCTGGCTGCCTCATATAGATTTCTTCCTCCAAATCACCATGAAGGAAAGTTGTCTTTACATATAACTGCTCAAGATGTAAATTCTCTACAGCTACAATTTTCAACACCAGTCCGATTGTAGACAGTTTTACGACTGGAGAGAAAATTTCATTGTAGTCAATACCTTCTTTTTGCTGAAAACCTTTGACTACCAATCTTGCTTTGTAGCGTTTGCTCCCATCGTGCTCTTCTTTGATCATGTAAATCCACTTGTTGTGGAGCGCTTTCTTGCCTGGTGGTAATTCAGCTAATTCCCATGTCTGATTTGACATAAGCGAGTCCATCTCATCTTTCATGGAAGACTCCCACTTGACTGAATCCTCCACTTGCATTGCTTCATCATAGCACTCTGGTTCACCATTGTCAGTCAGCAACAAGTAGTGCAAAGAAGGCTAATACCGTTGGGTTGGTTTAGGAATTCTGGAGGAGCGTCTCAGTTCTGGTGTGCCTGGTTCTTCCTCTTGAACTGCTTCAGGACTGATCTGAACATCATTTCCAGAAATCTCCTCGAACTCAGCAAATTCCTTTGTTTCAGCTTCGGTATTATTTGATTCTGCGGTTGACCTGTCTTTGTACATCACATTTTCTTTGAAAATGATGTCTCTGCTTCTGATGATCTTTCGATTTTCGTAGTCCCAAAACCGGTAACCGAACTCATCACCACCGTAACCAACAAAGACACATTTGTTGGACTTAGCATCAAGTTTACTTCTTTCAGCAGAGTTTATGTGTACATAAGAAATACAACCAAACACTCTTAAGTGTGAAATGTTTATTTCTTTCTTGCTCCAAGCTTCCTCTGGTATTCCGCCATCCAAAGGAACTGAGGGCCCACGGTTGATCAGGTAAGCTGCAGTGTTGATCGCTTCAGCCCATAGAAATTTGGGTAATCCGGCATGTATTCTCATGCTTCTGGCACGTTCATTCAGAGTTCTGTTCATGCGCTCTGCTACGCCATTCTGCTGCGGTGTTATGGGAACTGTTGTCTCCATCTTGATCCCATTATTTGCGCAGAAATCTCTGAATCTATTATCTCTGTACTCTCCTCCATTGTCAGACCTCAATCGCTTGACTTTCAAACCAGTCTCATTTTCCACCATGGCCTTCCATTTTCTGAAGGTATCGAAGACTTCTGATTTCTTCTTCAGAAAATAAACCCATACCTTCCTTGTTGAATCATTGATGAAGGTGACATAATATAATGAGCCTGCAAGAGATGGAACTGGGGATGGTCCCCATACATCAGTATGAACCAATTCTAACCTTTCTGCCTTGGGAGTCTTGCCAATCTTTGTAAAGCTGACTTTCTTTTGTTTGCCAAAGATGCAAT